TTACACTCACCTCCTCTCCTCTCACAGACATACCAAAATCACAACTATTTGCAGAACAGCTATCGATGAAAAAGACTGAAACCTACTAGAAAAGATCTTCTACAACTAAAGATATAAAGAAGGAACCACAACAAGATGGGCAGGAGGGGCAGAGTCACAATATAGTCAACCCACACCCCCGGGTGGGCGACCCCCAAATGGGAGCATAATTACAACTGCAGAGATTCTCCCCAAGGAGTGAGGTACCTGAGCCCCACATCAGGACCCCCAGCCTGGGGTCCTGCACTGGGAAGACGAGTCCCTAGAACATTTAGCTGAAGGCCAGTGGGGCATACTTTCAGGAGAACCAGAGGACTGGGGGAAATAGAGACGCCACTCTTGAAAGGCACACAGGCTCTCACACACTCCAGGACCCAGGGCAGAAGCAGTAATCTGAAAGAAGCCTGGGTCAGACCTACCTGCTGGTCTTGGAAAGCCCCCCACAGACGGAGGAGGCAACTGGCGCTCATCCTGGGGACAGACACTGACAGCAGCCATTTGGGGGAGTCCAGTCTACCATGTGGACACTGGTGCTGGCAAGTAACATTCTGGAATCCTCTGTCTAGCCGGTTAGCCCCAGGACCAGTCCCACCCCAGCCCCACATCCAATACGCACCAGTAGTGGGACAAGCAAATAATTGAACAGGGACATAGCTTCACCTACCAGCTTAAAACCCTCCCTGAGTCCACGGCCACCCTGGGTCACAGCCCTGCAAACCAGAGGGCCCAGGGCCCAGCCCCACACACCAGTGCACAGGCACCAGACTCAGGAGCCCCAGGGCTCTGCAGCCAGAGCTCCTGGGACCCAGCTCCACCTTTAAGTAGGCAGGTCCCAGCCCTGGAACCCCTGGCCCTGCCCACCAGTGAGCCTGCCCTAGCCTCAGGACTACCCTCACCCAGCAGCAGGTGGGCAGCAGGCCCAAGACAGCTGCAGCCCCACAGCCTGTGGATCCAGCCCCGTCCAGCAGGCCAGTACCAGCCCTGGGACTGTCTGAGCCCTGTCCACGCCCACCAGAAGGCCAACACAAGCTCTGAGACAGCCTGGGCCCTGCAGCCAGCTGTGTCAGGAACCAGCCCCACCCACAACTGGCCTAACACCAGCTCTGAGACCCTGGGGCACTGCAGCCAGACCCCCAGGACCCAGATCTGCCTTCCAGTGGGCCAGCACTAGCCTCAGGAACTGGCTTCACCCACTGGTGAGTGAGCAACATTCCTGCGATCTTCTGGGACTCAACTTCACCCACCAGAAAGCCAGCACTAGCCTCGGACATGCCCCCTCCCGGGGTTTCACAGCCAGCTGTCTTGTGACCTGGCCTGCCAACCAGCAGCCTGTAGCTTCCACATGAGGCACGGTCCGGCAACCACCTGGAACAGGGGCCAACCAAGCCTGCAAGGCCACTTACAGTAGCCAGCCTGCCACAACACAGAGGACCCACACAGCCCACATAGGGAGCACCCCAGGAACACAGAGGTAAAAGACTTGCACTCAGAAAATTATGACACTGATAAAAGAAATTAAAGATGATACAATAGATGGAAAGATATACCATGTTCTTAGATTGGTATAATTAATATTGTTAAAATGACCATATTACCCAAGGTGATCTACAGACTCAGTGAAATCCCTATCAAAATACCAATGCCATTTTTCACAGAACTAGGACAAATAACTCTAAAATTTGCATGGAAATACAAAAGACCACTGGTGGCTAATACAATCTTAAGAAAGAAGGACAGAGCTGGAGGTATCACACTTTCTAGCTTCAGACTGCATTACAAAGCTATAGTAATCAAAATAGTTTAGTACTTCCACAAAAACAGAACCATAGATTAATGGAACAGAATAAAGAGCTCAGAAATAAACTCATGCACTTATGGTTAATTAATGTACAAAAAAGGAGGCAAGAATATATAGGAGAAAAGACAGGCTCATCAATAAGCGGTGCTGGGAAAACCAGACAGCTGTATCTAAAAGAATGAGATAGAACATTTTTACATCATACACAAAAATAAGCTCAAAATGAATTAAAGCCAGAAACCGTAAGACTCCTAGAAGAGAATGTAGGCAAAACAGTCTTTGACATAAATTGTAGCAACATTTTTTTGGAGCTATCTCCTAAGGGAAAGGAAACAAAAGCAAAAATAAACAAATGGGATCTAATTAAACTTAAAAGCTTTCGCACAGCAAAGGACACTATCAACCAAATGAAAAGCCAGTCTCCTGGAGAAAATATCTGCAAATGATATGACTGCTAAGGGGTAAATATCCAAACTATACAGCTTACACAACTCAAAATCAAAAAAACCCAAACAACTGATTAAAAAATGGGCAGAAGACTTAAATGGACATTTTTCTAAAGAAGAGATACAGATGATCAACAGATACAAAAGATGCTAAACATCACTAATCATCAGAGAAATGCAAATCAGAACCATGACAAGCTATCACCTCACACCTGTCAGAATGGCTATCATCAAAAAGACCACAAATAACAAATGTTAGTGAGGATGTGAAGCAAAGAGAACCCTTGTACACTGCAGGTGGGAATGTAAACAGGAGCAATCACTGTAGAAAACAGTATGAGGTTCCTTAAAAAAACTAAAAATAGAACTACCATATGATCCAGCAATTCCACTCCTGGGTATTTATCCAAAGAAAACAAAAACACTAATTTGAAAAGATATACGCACCCCAGTGTTCACAGTAACATTAGCCAAGCCAAGATACTGAAGCAACCTTGTGTCCATCAACAGATGGAAGGATAAAGAAGATGCGATGTATTTATATACAATGGAATACTACTCAGCCATTAAAAAGAAAGAAAATTTTGCCATTTGCAAAAACATAGATGTCCTTGGAAAACATTATGCTTAATGAAATAAGTCAGACAGAGAAAGACAAATACTATATGGTATCATGTGAAATCTAAAAAAAAAACAAACTAGTGAATATAACAAAAAGGAAATAGACTCACAGATACAAAGAACAAATTAGTGATTATCAGTGTAGAGATGGAAGGCAGGAGGGACAAGAGCAGAGGAGGGGTAAGAGGTACAAACTACTATGCATAAAATAAATGAGCTACATAGATATATTGTACAGTACAAGGAATATTGCCAATATTTTATAATATCTATAAATAGAGTATAATCTTAATAAAAAATTAAAAACCAATATGTTGTACACTTGAAACTTATATAATACTATAAATCAACTGCACCTCAATTAAAAGAAGGAAAAAAAGACATGAGAGAACTGGAAAAAAAAAAGAATTGCTAATTTTAAATTATTTAGAGAAATCACTGAGAACACTGGGTAAACGGAAATATAATACATAAAAGTCCAGTTAAGAAACATGGAGCAATTTAGACACAGAAAACTTAAAATGAAGGAGAGTCAATACTTGCAGCGAAAAAGGCTAGGACTTTTCAAAACTGAAGAAAGGCATGAGTCTTCACACTGAAAGGAAATATTGGGCCCAGTTCATGATTTTACAAATATCTCTACCAGAATACACTATAACAAAATAACCACACTGTGAGGACAAAGAAGAAACCTTAAGAGGCTGTGTTAGGCAGAATTCTAACGATGGCTCCCATTCCTTGGTTATTCAAACACTCTTCAAAAGTACTGCTCTGAAGACATTGTGCAGATGTAATTAAAGCTCCAAATCTTCTTATAATACAGAGATTACTTTGGTGGGCCTGACCCAGTCAGGTCAGCCCTTTAAAAGTAGAGTTTTCTCCTGCTGGTAGAGAAGAGAAAGTGAGAGAGAGTCAAAGCCTTAGGAAGACTTGTGTGCCCTTGCTTCTTTATAGGTGAAGGAGGTACATGAGAAGCAATGCAGGTGGCCTCAAGCAGACAGGCATCAAGGAAATAGATACCTCAGATCTACAGCTGGAAGCAGTTGGATTTTTCTTATGTCCTGAATGAGCCAAGAACCCTGCCTGGCTTCCAGGCCTTCAGGTCAGCCTTGCGACAAGCCAGCTAAATCCACCTGCACTTCTGTCTTACGGAACATCCACATAATAAATGGATGTTGCTTAAGTTACTACATGTGTGGTAACTTGTTACGCAACAATAGAAATACAAAGACTGCTATAGGTAAAACTCATATTAACCATAAAGGAATAAACGAATCAAGACACAAACAGAAGACTTATCATCATCAGTACAGAATGCTGCACTACACTGACTTATCTTCAAATAGCTGAGGCAAAATAACTCTCAGCCTGAAGTCCACACTACATAAATTCACACTTGAGAGTGAAAATAAAGACAATTTTAAGTGAATAAGAGAAACAGCTCACTACACACAGACTCATGGTGGAAATTCTAAGAGATGTACTTCACCTAAAGGGAGACTGAACACTATAAACAATAGTGAGTACATAAAGTGACAAATATGTAGTGAAATCCTAGTAGGTTTTGATTAAGCATAGTAATGATAATGATGACTTACTTGTAGCAGGTTAAAATTCATGAGTAACTAAAAACCAAATGATAATAATATGCAAGAGTGAAGAAAAGAGTATAGGGTTTAATGGGCTAATATTCCTAAATTGTTGAAAGATTATAAATATTTGTTATATCTAAAGTTGTAACTTTAACTACATTTAATTTTAATAATTAAATACATCATAACATAATAATTTAATAATTAAAGAATATCACTAAAAGAATAGAATTAGAACATACAATGACCGAATTGGTAGAAGGAAAGAAAAAACAATCACATTCAACATAATGGAATACAAGAAAGTAGAAAAAGAAAATATTGATAAAGCAGGATAAATAGAAAAACACACAAAACAAAGTGGTAGAATTTAGTCTAAATATATCAGCAAACATGAGTATATAAACATATTAAATTCAACTACTGAGAAATTCTTGAGATTACATATTTTTAAATTCCATTGGCAGGCTGTTTTTAAGAGACCAGCTTAAATAAAAGATTGAAAGTAAGGGATGGAAAAGTTACATAAGGTAAATTTAACAAACAGAAAGTTGGTATAGCAGCTATAAAACAGTAAGGACTGAGTTTATGGTTAAAAACTATTAACGGGGACAATATGCTACTTTTAATGATAAAAGAACAGCACAGCTGTCAATGTCATCAGTTCTCACCAACCCATAATTACCCTGGAAATTTATACATGAGGTCTGAGTTCTGAGTTCTGTCACGTACAACCTCTCTTGCTTGGTTGTTTACCCGAGCAGTACATGAATATTCCCCAGGTTGGGTCACTTCCAGGCACTATACATCCTTTTCCTTATTAATTATACATATGTTATCTGTTACTAATAAAGACAGTCATTTTATTCCTTGGTTCCTCAGAGTAGATTTCCAGTAAACATTTATTAAATTTATAAATAAGAGACTAATTTACTAGAAACTAAATTAGTAGCCTGGTTTTCAGTGGATTACTTTACCAACTGCAGCTGTTCAAACAGTATCTAGAAATTAATTGTGAATTGTTAATTCATTCTTAATTTTTAACACATACCTTAAGATGTCTTCCAGTTTACCTACCTGCTGTCAGTTCTGTGAGTGCTGCTTTCTGATCTAGATATTTAAAAAAATGGAAAATCATGTCCAAAGTTAGTACTAAGAGAGCTTGCCAACTGCATGAATAAGATAGGCTATTTTATAAGCAGTATTTTCTCTTTCACAAGACTAGTTATCAAAACAAAAAACAGTGTCTAAGTTCATGGAATAACGATGCAAATAAGTAACATTCTTATTCACCTCCACCTCTACACCTCATCCACAAAGAGTGCATTTCAAACTTGCAGTGAGGAAACTGTCAAGAAGGCACAGGTTTGCTTTATCCTTGTCTCCTCTGAACACAGAACATAGGTTTGACCCTGAATGCCTGATTCTGAGCTTCGTACCCCAACTTTCATCCTTCTCTTCACTGATAAATAAATGCTACATTTTGTGAATTAAAACCCATACTGACTTCTAGACAATCTGGCAGAATGAGCTGGTGGGACAGTCCCCCTTTGCATTCCTCATAGAGGAGTGCTGAAAAAAATAACACAAACATTTAATACATAACTGAGGTTAACAAGAGAAGACTTTTCCTGGTGCTGTTTAAAAAAATGAAGAAACAGAATTCAAAGGCTAAACAGGGGCTAAAAGTGAACGGTTTCAGGGGTATCTAAACCGGTGACCAGGCTTTGGGACTAGAGATTTAACAGCCCTTCCTTAGGAGTTAAGTTATGAGACCTTCCCATGTGGGGAAACTAAATGAGCTCCTTAATTAAACCTGGAGCCATGAATGGCCATATACCCCATTAAACAGGGATAGTAAAAATGCTGAGCAGTGGCCTCTGGGATGCAGCAGGGGAAGGGATACGCAGCAGGAAGAGATGGGAGGAAACTGCATCACTCAGATGTAGGGTTCCCAAGCCTCCAAAAAGTCTATTTCCAGGACCTCAGTTCACACCCCTACAAATTCCTGAACACGAGGCATAGCAATTGCTTCATATGTTTTTGTTTTAAAGGAAGCAAAGATAAAACAACCCATAGGTATGTGTTTTCAACACAGAGCATGCAGAATTCTCATGGGGAAGCCAGACACTGAAGAGAAAGAGTCTGTGATTACAAACCCCTAATAGTCCATGTCAACAGCCACAGAAGAATGACAAATTCACACACCAAGAAATACAAACGATTTCAAAATCTTTGAGACTATTTAGAATTTCCATCAAGATCTTTGTAGGAATTAGAACCCTTAAGTCCAGAACAGGACAGAGAAGGAAGAACTGGTGAAATGCAAGAGCGACCTGAGGGAGTCAAGCGGAGTGTGAGACGCAGACAACGATGGAAGCGCAGTTACAAACCACAAAGACATACTTCCAACTCTGGCCAGGATGGAATGACAGGCTGGACTTACCCTCCTGCTTGAAACAACTGAAAATCTGGACAAAAGCTATGAAACACTGATTTTCAGATGCTGAGTACTAGGCAGGACAGTGATCTCTGAGAGAAGGGACTAGAGGTGAGATCCCTGATTGACCCTTCTTACTGCCTGGTGAGAGTTTCCATTCTGTACAGAGAGGGGAACCCAGGCAAAGGCCAGGAGTCTCCCTGAGTTGAGGTAACAGAGTCTAGGGAGGCAGTTACAATTCTCAGGGCAAAACAGTAGAGAGGGACACGTTGCACAGAGAGAGCTTCTGAGATCCGCACAGGGTCCCCCTCGCGTGTTCCGCCGGTACTGACCACTGAATGAGGCAGCAATGCAAACTGAAGTATTTCGTTTGTGGTAAGGCTCAGAAATCTGCATTCTAAATAAGTACTTCTCCTGTAGGTGACACAGGTCACACTTTGAGAACCACTGGGTATTTGAAAGCAATAGATATGGATACATTTTAGTTCTCCCTCTCTCAATTACCAACGCAATGATGTTAGCAAGTTATTAAAACCACATTCCCAAATTTTTGCATCTTTAAAATAAGGATATTCAAAACTATTTCAGAGATGTTGATACAGCATTTAAAATTCCTGGTAAAAGTGAATAATTGTTGCTGCTCAAAATATTGCCTTACACATGACTAGACTTAAATGGTATTGAAGTTTAACTTCAGAACATAAATTCCACTTACTCGCTACTTTGGGATTCCTGTTGCTTGGTGAACCGCTTTTTCAAACGCTTCCATGAAATAGCTATTATGGTTGCTACGGTGAGAACAGGTAAAGCCAGGTAGATACCCAGAAGCCACTGTTTCTTCCGAGCCTTCACAAAGGTTTTTTCCATGATTAAACCTAAAAATGAAAATATATTAAAAAGCCAGAGTAAAAAAATTAAGCTGTCTACTTTTACTTTCAAGTTGCAGCAAACTAATTACAATGTTCTTAATTTTCATTGTTATTCAAGGAACAGAGAACAATAATAATATAATCATAATACTTGTCTCTATAATCTCTCATGTGAAAGAATAGAAACTAAGTTACAGAAAGTCCCCACGTGTTCTACGTTACACAGAAGCTGCAGCAAACTCTCACCTTAAGTGGGGCCCAAGACTTCAGTAATGTGTAGTGCAGGAGTGTGTAACTGTAAGGTTAGCTAGCAAACTTGCCTCGTTACAAGGTGCATTATCACAGAATCCCACTATATCTCAGCATATCTTGCTTTCATTAGATTGTTGGCTCTTTGACATTAGGGATCTGTTTTATATACTGAGCCACTGCAGTGCTACTAAAATGCCACCAGTGTAAGATGGGGAGGCCTGATTCCTAACTCTAATTCTGCAACCAGTTAGCACTGGGTATTCTTTAAGCTCCATGAGGCGCAGGACTTTGCTTTGCTTACTGTACAGGCCTCATGCCGCATGATGAGCACTTGGTGTATACTAGGAGTTCAAGGAGTTCAGTAAATATTGGCTACATCAACGAATGAATAACAGAAACTACAGTCATGGTGAACAAACAGTGTTGCTTTAGCATTCCTTCTGTCATCTCTTTAGCAGCAGTTAATAGATTTTTCTCATTTAAACTGTAAATGAGAGTAATTTACTCTGAATCTTTCATCTTTGATTTCCTTTATTCTTCTATAACAGACATACAGTAACCGTGCTGGACACAGGGTAAGTGTTGCTTGTATAGAGCTGAGATCCCAGGATCAATCATAAAGGGGGAAAAGGCTGAAAGGTGGTTTAAAGGAGAAAGTCAGACATAAATAAAGAAAAATTTTAAAAGATACACTCAGCTTCAATCATATTTGAAAGTTAGTATTAGAAAAAAACAGCAAGATTAAGAAGGCATATTTGGTTTCCATTTCTTGAGGAAGTTTTTTATCTTTTAATTACAAATATTGATTTCTTTCTAAGTGGCAAAAATGTAACTCTTTTTGTGAAGATAAGCAATTTGAGAATTTTATTAACTGGGTATGAAAAGAGATAGGTATTTACCCTGTTCCCAAGGTGAATTAGAAGAGTCCCGGGCACTCCTTTGGCAATCTGGAGGTCTGAAGCCACTAGAACAATGGCACTCCAAGGTTGAAGTGCACACCTAAGGACATTGTTTTAAATGTTAAATGATCATTTTAAAATATTTTCTCATAGAAAGTAAAATTATCAGATGGGTCATCAAGTTTACTTTTGTATTTTCATCTAGTGTAATTTTGTTTGTTTTATTTATTTAGAGGGATAATCCTACAGGGGAAATGCTTGGTTTCTTAGCCTGAAGTGCACATGCACGCACACACACACATGCTAAAAATAATTATCAGTGGTTCCTGAAACTAGCACGTGAAACTTTACAAGGACCCAGATACTTACATAACCTCACAAGTATCTCCTCACAGATTACTTATTATTACAAATGGTACATTACAGTGTAAAAACTTGGAAGACATCACCTTAACTAAGTAATCCAAAAGTGACATCACAACATGAGAACAAACTGACATGTGTCTTCTGAGAAGGGCAACGTCACTCCTGTGAGGTATTTCAGAGTATACATGGTACACAGGCGCGCGCGCACACACACACACACACACACACACACACACACAACATGGTGGTATTAGAGAAGCTGCGGTAGTGGATACCCCAAACAGAGGGCTTTTCCCCCCGTACATTTAAGCCCTGGAAGAGAGAAATTAGATTCATGTCCTTAAATTGAGATCTTAGAAATTGAGAGATGTTTTATATTATTTTGAGAAGTAGCATAGCATAGTGGTCAAAAGCAGAGACTCTGAAACTGGATTGCTTTGGTTAAAAACCCTGGCTCCATCACTTACTAGCCATGTGACTCTTGGCAAGTTAAAAATCTATGCCTCAGTGTATTCATCTGCGAAGTGGGAATGATAATAGTCCTGATCTCATAGGCTGTTGTGAGGATTTAATAAGTAAATCTATATAAAATGCTCAGATTAGAAATTTACACAAAGTAAGTACCATAAAACTGTTTCCTATTATTAATTAATTAATTACAGAAACCATCAGTCCTAATGTTATGCTGTATTTAAGTATTTGATGCCCTTTTGGAATGCAAAAAGCTTTTGCTTAAAAATCAAACAAAAGCAAACAAATGAAACAAAACCTGATCTTGGTCAAAGGGCAACTAGCCTGGGGGAGGATAAATCCTCATTTGTACGTGCAAATACTTAAGCTGCCACATGACAGCACTGAACCTGGAGATGGGAAGAGACGTAGGCAGTCCGCCCTGGGAGTTTGTACTAGCTGGCATCAACACACCACTGGAAGGGTCTCATTTTCATTAGAATTTAAGTATATGTTTTTGAAATTTTCAGGTAAACATCTGAAGATGTTAAAATTTTCTTGATGCAAATATTGTGAGCTTCACTTCATAGCTTTTACTTTAGCACCCAACTCTTCAGACATGCAATTGAGAAACAAGCCCTCCACCCCCACCCCAATCCAGCTTTGAAAGACAACAGGACTTAGGGCCATGAGACCCACAAGGCTATAGCAAGGGATGACGTCAGCAACACGGTGAAGTGAAAGCTACCCTTGCTTTTCCCCTTCAATCTACAACCAGTAAAACATCCCCAGTGCAACAAAGGTGTCTCTGCCCAGTGCAGCGGGACACTAGAGAACTGTACACATGTATACAGCTAAAGGGGGGTGGGCTGGAGCACAGAGAGGAAGCAGAAACCAGGGAAAGCAGAAGCTGTGCGAGCAGTCCTGGCCCTCCAGCCACGGCGGCCGAGCTGCACCCACAGAGAAGCCAGTAGCAGCAGGGGAGGTAGCGCACGTGATCCTGGCCTCTCGGCTGCAGCAGCACCCACGGCCACAGTTAACTTAATAGCAGCAGCACTGGGACCTGGGACACTGTTCCTCCAGCTGCTGAATGCTCGTAACCCCAGCCCCTTGCCCCCCAACCCACAGAGTGGAGCTGCTTTTAAGAAGAACCTCAAAGCACCAGATATGTAAGAGATGCCAGCAGGACCCTGGCTCCTGTGTGACTCTTCCCCTCCCACAGTGGTGGTGGAGCCTGACACTCAGGAGTTCTGGACAGGAGGGAAGAACCCACCATCCCAGTGCTCCAGGCGGCAAGAACAGTGACGCTGACAGATGTATGGCACCAACAACCCCGGAGGCACAAGAAGTGATAACAGGCACAGGCAACAACTCTGCCAGAGGTGGCAGAGGGTGGAAAGTGCAGGCTTTAGAATAGAACCAGAAACAGCGCAAGAAAACCCAAAAAAACTTGTGCTCTGGCGCCACCTACTGGAAAACAAAAGCAAGACCTCTAATTTCTAACCGGTTGAATCATTAGAATCAAGCAGAAAGGTGTTCCCCGCTTAAAATGTGCAGGCAGAGGAACAACTCAACCAGCACCTGAAGAACCACAGTAACACTGTATCACAAAAAAGAAAATGAATTCTCCAGAAACTGAACTTAGAGTCACAAAATATTGCAGTCTGATAGAGAATTCAAAATAGCTGTTGTGCAGAAACTCAACAAGTTACAAGAAATCTCAGAAAGGCAGTTCAATTAGCTTAGGAACAAAATTAATTAACAGAAGGAATACTTTACCAAAGATACTGAAACTCTAAAAAAGAAACAAACAAATCCTGGAGCTGAAGAACTCAATAAAGTAGACAAAAAATGCTTTAGAAAGCACTGGAAATAGAGCAGATCATATGGGAGAGAGAGCTAGCATGAGCATGAAGATGGAAATCAAGAAACGATACAAGTAGAAGAGGAAAGAGAAATAAGATGAAAATGAGGGAATTCTATGAGAGCTATCCAGTTCTTTTAGAAACGGCAACATCTGGGTAATGGGTATCCCAGAGAAGAACGAACTGAGGTTATTTAAATAAATAATAGCAGAGAACTTCCCAAACCTGGGGAAGGAGCTGGATCCACAAGGACATGAAGCTAAGGAAACACTTAATTACCTCAATACAAAAGACGCCACTCCAGTCTTGGCTCATGGTGCTCATGGGCAAATCTGTGGGGTTGTCCACTGGGATTGATTGTGGCAGAGAAGGCAGGAGGGGCTTGAAATAGCAGTGCTTGGATCTAAGTAGACCAAGGTCCCACCCACAGCACCCAAGCAGTAGTTCCAACTGGCAGTTTCGCTCATCTGTCGAGCCAAAATAGTGGCACAGTCTGGTAAGGGAACTTGACGGGGTGCAGGTCTGCCTAATTTTGAATCTCAAAGGAAGAGCCTTGCCACTTCTTGAGTTGGTCTGTACCCTCACCTGGCAGGGGAGCTGAGTCATAACCCTGCCCAGTGCTAAGTATAGTTACCAGCCCCACATGACCAGAAATCCTTGTTAGAATACCTATAAACCGCACAGCCCAGCAACGGTCCAGCAGTGAGTCTGGCAGGCAGAGCAGACCGACGGTAGAGCGAAGCCGTTGGTTATCATTCAGCCAGAGAATATGGGGTGCAGGTTAGCTTGTCAAGACCACAGAGAGCCTTCCAAAGTTTGGAGACAATTCCCCTGCTTTGCCCAGACAGCGGAGCTAATCCATAGTCGCTGCCCAAACAAAAGGTCTAACCAGAACACCTGGGAGGTTGCATGGAGCCAGCTCTCCAACTCTGCCTGGGAAGGTGAGCTAATTCACAGCCCTGCCCATATGGTTTTCATTACGGTAGCTTTGTAATATAGTCTGAAGTCAGGGAGTGTTTTACCTCCAGCTCTGTTCTTTCTCAAGATTGTTTTGTCTATTCAGGGTCTTCTGTGTTTCCATACAAATTTTTTAATTATGTGTTCTAGTTCTGTGGGAAAATGCCATTGGAACTTTGATTGGTATTGCACTGAGTCTGTAGATTGCCTTGGGGAGTATGGTTATTTTAACAATATTAATTCTTCCAATGCATAAACACAGAATATCTTTCCATCTGTTTGTGCTGTCTTCAGTTTCTTTCATCAGTGTCTCATAGTTTTCTGAGTAAAACTCTTTTAAGTCCTTAAGGTAAGTTTATGCTAGGCATTTTATTCTTTTGATGCAATTTTAAATGGAAAGAATTAACAGATTTCTGTATATTAACTTTGTATCCTGCAGCTTTATGAAATTCGTTGATGAGAAGACATGGGGGAACCTTAAATGCGTATTACTAAGGGAAAACCAATCTGAAAAGGCTATATACTGTATGATTCCAACTACATGATATTCTGAAAAAGGCAAAACTATGAAAACAGTTAAAAAAATGAGGGGTTGTCTGGGATAGGAGAAACAGAGGGACAAATAGGCAGAACACAGAGGTTTTTAGGGCAGTGAAACTACTCTGTATGATATTATTAATGATGGCTATCTGTAATTATACATTTGTCCAAGCCCATAGAATGGACAGCACCAAGAGTGAATCCTAATATAAACTATGGACTTTGAGGTATAATGATGTGTCAATGTAGGTTCATCAATCGTAACAAATGTACCACTCTGGTGGGGGATGTTGATGTGGGATAGGCTGTGTGTACTGGGGTCGGAGGGTATGTAGGCAATCTGTACTTTCTGCTCAATTTTGCCATGAACGTAAAACTGCTCTAAAAAAATAAAGTCTAGAATAGACATATATATGTATGTGTAACTAAATCACTTTGCTATACACCTGAAACCAACACAACATTGTAAATCAACTATACTTCAACAAAAAAATTCTAGTATAAAATGAGGGATAAAATTGATAGTTTTCCTTTACCCTACGTATCCACAGACACATAAATTTTAGCGTAATTGTCTTCCCTTGAAGAACAGGTTAATGTATTTATTGGAATATTTAACACCTCTGAGAAGTGCCCAGCTGTAGTAAGAAATCTGTTAAGATCGTCAGCAATTGAATTCTATACAATGTTCTCTAAAACATATGACTACAAATTTAGTAACCCGATTCAGCCCCACATTGAAGCTAGATACATCAGGTCCTAGCACACAGTGGGAACCCAATAAATGTTGAATAAATTAACTGATGCTGAGAAGTGTCCAAGAGAGATGTGATTTGAGGAAACAGGAACCCTGTGCTTACTTACTCCGTGTCCATTGCACTTTTGTGAACAAGTATGTGATTGAGTTGCAAGTATCCTGGATTCTACACATTCACGATTTACACAGATCTAAAGAAAAATACATACAAAAAAATGTTTCCAAGTCAGAGGAGCCCAGTTATCTTAATAAATACAATCAGTGGTTTTATAGTTAAGGCCATGGCCATTCAATGCAACACATTTCCACTAAGTACTGTTTTTGTTGCATCCCACAAATTTTTATATGTTTTATTTTCATTTTCACTTAGTTCAAAATATTTTTCAGTTTCTTTTGGGATTTCTCCTTTGACACAAGGGTTATTTAGAAGCGTGTACTTTAAGCTACAAATATTTTGGGATTTTTCAGATAAGTCTAATGGAAACCATGGACTTTGGGTGACAATGGTGGAGAGTGTAGGAGTCTGTACTTATGTAGAGGTATGTGGGAACTCTCTGTACTTTTTGCAACTTTTGATGTGAACCTAAAACTGCTCTTAAAAAAGTATGTTTTTAAATAAATTTTTAAAAAATGATTCGGGCTTCTAGTATTTGGTTCCCCATATAAGGAGTTTGGAAGTTGCCACTCCATCCTAACAACAAGTGAAAAATTGAACAGACTGAAAAATCAACAGCTCTTCTAGGATCCACAAGAGAACTGGAGACAAAGGCCAACCACTGCCCCCAAATTAGGGAGATAGACAAGCAGACACAGGGAGTCGCAGCTTAACTAGAGCAAAGATTCACAAGCAAAGCCACCTTGGGTACCTGTGCCAGGGAAAGCCTGAACTGTATAACTGATGGACTGCTGGAGGTTCGGTGTGGACAGCTCTGAGAGTTAAAACCCAAGGCGACCCAGCCATGGGGGACGCCTACAGTTCTGGGAGATGTACATCCAGAAGCTCAGCCAGGTTCTCACGGTAACTATTAGAGAACATTTTTCTTGTTTTCTGGCAGGAGGAGGGGGAAAGGAACCATTCTGAAATAGCCCAAGCACTCTGTGCTTCTTAACAAAGCTGCCCTGAGGAGAAACTAGTTAACCAGAGCCAACCTTGCTGGTGCTTCATCAGCACCTAACTGCTCTGGGAGAAGGGAAGTACTCAATTTCAGTCAGCTCTGACCTTCCAGGTGCTTACTTACTCCATGTCTCACTTTTTAATTGTTTTGGCTCCATGGCATAAATGTATCTACTGAGCTCCCTGGCATGCACCTACTTCAAAGAGGCATTTATGACTTCTAGGCATGAAGAGGAAGCTAATATTAAGGAGAGAGAGAGAGTGTGTGTGTGTGTGTGTGTGTGTATACACATATATATACATACACTTTACCTATAGTAAACATCATTTAAACTGTAAGACCACCAAAAGTGGCTATTAACATACACAGTCATTTCACATTTTTAATCATTTGTTCAAAATCATCTATCAAGTAAGTGGAAGAGTCAAAATTCAAATCTATGGGCATCTGTCTTCAAAGCCTACACTTTATATTATATTATAGTTCCTCATGAGCAAAAATCTGAGTAGGAATTAAATGAGCTTTTAAGTAACTTTATTCCATGTTTTCTGTAGATTTGGGTTGGTTTCATAGGTAATAAATTATAATAGCAATAATAATAGCCAACCTATATTTAGCTCTTACTACGTGCTGAGCATCGTGCTAAGCACTTCATACTATTATCTCATTTAATCTTTGCCACAACTCCACAGAGTAAATGTTATTATTATCCTTACTTTACAGTCAGTTGCGGTATCTCAGGCTGGTTAGGTAACTTGCAAAATATCAAAAAATAAGAGGTGAAGATTGATTCTAAGCAACCTGATCTAAGTTGTACTTTTATCTACTGGGCCACAAAGAGACATATATTACTAAGTGGGATTTCTTGTTTCTTCTTCTAGAAAAAAAGTGCCTTTCCATGTTATGGAATATTTAACTACAAGTATTCCTAAGATCTCTCTCCTCCCCACTCCAGCCCCAAAACACTTGGAATTTCTTTGCTCAGAAAATGGAAATTCTAAAGGAGATCAAACATTTCCATTTCCCTCTTATTATCTGGAGACCAAATGAAGCTTATTCATTTTCTCCTTGTCCAAATATTTAAGGTTACATACAACCGGAAATGAACTGTAATTTAAATGAAAATATTTATTAAAGAAATAAATAAAACTAGATTTTTTCTTTCATTTTGCTTTTCCATATATACATTTTTAAACTAGAATTTTTAAAAAATGAATTTTAAGTCATTTACCCTCCCATCATCACAAATAGAGCCACTTTTTATCTCCATTGGATCTTCATTTTTTGATCTGTGGTGCAGAGTTATACATACAACATCTCGTACAAAAGCATAAATCACAGAAGCATCTTCTTGAAGGAAAGGAGTTTGAGAAGGGTAGGTACAAATTAATCTTCCACATATAAGATTCCTGCAAACATAATAAAATTATATGGTTATTATACATTAGGCACTATAAATTTCATGAATACAAGGGCCATGTATGCTTTGCTAACAAGTATCTAGCCCAGTGTCCAGCACATAGTAGGTTCTTAATAAATATTTGTTAAAATAAAATTATGACCAATTTCAAATAACTAGCTCTTCAGATGCAGGGGAAACTAAAATTCATTTAACAGATACTGGGTAGTCTTCAGCTTGGGCAAGCAATCAAGTGAATAGGGATGGTATTTCTATTTTTTAAAACATGAGTATGTTCAGAGAGGAAAGATGCAAGGGCTATTATTAGTTTCAATCTTGGATCAGACCTAAGGGTCTAATGATCATCCATATACAAATGTTTAAAAATTAGATTGAAATGTAATAAGCCTGGAGCACAAGAAAGATGTCAAGGTTAGAGATTTTGATTTCAGATTCACTCCCATACACATGCAATACTTGAAACCACTGGAATGAATGACATACATAGAGAAAAACCAAAAATAGGATCTTACGGAACACAGGACAAATATTTTTAATATTTTCATAGCATACCTCCATGCACAGAATTTGTAACTCTTTCCTTGTTTACCACAGTTCCCAAACCTATCATTTTGAGAGTGTATTTCTTCATAGCAGGCAAATGGAGCGTTTTTTGAACCTGTCAAAGTTAAAAATATATTTGGATTAACATTTCCCTTCTTTTCCATCTTTCTCCATCTCCTCATATTTTATGTTTGTTTTGCCTTTTTCTCTATTATTATTATCTATTCAGAAGTTTCCTGGTGAAGTTGTAAGAAAAGAGAAAGAATTAAAGTGAAAAGTAATAACCATGGTTATTTTTCCTTTTACTTCACTTTCAGTAATTTCCACCACAAAAGATATGAGGGTAGGGGAAAGTTATAGAAGTGGAAGCCTTGAGAGCAACCTCTGTGAAAGACAGCAACAGACAGGTAACACAAGAAAACTATATTTGTTCTCTTAGATTCTGAGTAGGAATTTATAAAAAGGCAGGTCTATAACAAAATCTCATGAAGAAACTTCTTATCTTCAGGAAATCTAAAATGAAGGGACCAAAATTGCCAACCCATATAGTTACCTGTTTTTCCTTCTTTGGTATATTAGTTTTTTATTGCTGTGTGAAAAATTACCGAAATCTTGGCAACTTAAAACAACACCCATGTCACAGTTCCTGTTAAGTCAGAAGTCCAACAAAGCACAAGTAGGTTCTCTGTTTGGGGTCTCACTAGGCGGAAATAAAGTTCCTGGCTGGGGTCACAGTCTCATTTGAGGCTGGAGTCCTCTTCCTGTCTCATTGGTTGTTGGAAGAATTCATTTTCTTGCAGCCATGGCTCCATTTTAGTCCTAATTATCTGCCAGGGGTTGCTCTTGGCCCCTAGGAGCTCCCCCTCAGGTCCTGGTCACATGGCCCTCTCACAACATGGCAGCTTATTTCTTCCAAGCCAGCAAGAGAATCTTCTGACCTCTCCCATCTTTTAAGGGCTCACATGATTAGGGGAGGCCCCACTGAGAATGATCTCCCTTTTGATTAATTCAAAGTCGACTGATTATGGACCTTAACTACCTCTTTAAAATCCCTTCATATTTATGATATAATCTAATCATAGGAACTATTTCATCATATATTCACTGGTTCTCCCCCAACTCAAAGAGAGGGGATTATCCAAGAAATGTACACCAGAAGAGTATGGGGACCATCTTAGAATTCTACCTAGCCATTACCTTCCCCCAAACAAACCTTGCTGAGTCTGACTGCCTGTCTATAAAATATAAAAGTAGGGAATAATAGCTACTTCAATAGATTGTTATGAGAATTAATTAAGATGATGTTTATTTAGTCATTGTTAATTCTCATCTAATCCTTCTCCATTTTCTTTTAAGATCAAGAGGGTTTCTCCACCTTGTACACTGTTGGTGGGAATGTAAAATTAGTGCAGACACTGTAAAGAACAGTATGAAAGTTCCTTAAAAAACTAAAAATAGAGCTACCATATGATCCTG